AATGGCATTTTGGCATAATTGTCCACATGCTACAACGTCCTGCCTACGTAGGCGTGATCCAAGGGTCCCTCCTCCATTCGAACAAAGCAGCAATGCTCGCCTAGCCGAGCCAACGCCCAGCTGGGACCTCGCAGGCTCAGACGCAGACAGAGATGGCTGTGAAGTGCCTTGTTAGCCGTGAGGGCCGCAGCTGCATGTAGCGCAGTAGCCAACAGCACTCCCACTGGATTTCACAGCTGATGGGGGACCAAGGGGTCTAATTTGCCCCAGGCAGGGGCAGCTGGGGGCTGCTGGTGGGGTGGGCTCAACAGTTTGGACAATGCCTGGTGGAAGGAGTACCTTTTCTAAGGCATACCCAGGAGCCACAGGAGCCCGTTGTCACCCTAGACGTCCGGTTCCATGGCACATGCCCCTCCACTCTGCCTCACCAAGAGCCACGGCTCCCCAAAACACACAAGTTCAAATCCCAGTGCCCAGGCTCAGGAAGGAGCTCTGTCTACCACATGCACAGGCTCCTGCTGCATGAGGTTTCAGCGGGCAAGTGAATGCTGCGTAGCTCAGACTGCCACAACAGAGCACCACAGGCTGGGTGCCAGCAGCAGACACTTATTTCTCACAGTTCTGGGGGCTGGAAAGCCAAGACAGGGGACAGGGGCCAGTATGGTCAGGTTCTGCTGAGGGCCCTCTTCTGGGCTGCAGACTTCCAGCTTCTCGCCGCACCCTCACATGGCGGGAAGGCGGCATGCGAGTTCCCTGGCCCCTTCTCTTACAGGGCACCAGTCCCAGTCATGAGGGCCCATTGTCTTGATCTAATTCTCACCCAAAGGCCCCACCTCCAAATACCACCACACTGGGACTAGGGCTTCAACATACGCCTTTGGCGGGCACAAACATTCAGTCCATCACAGTAAGAGACTGGCCTCACAGTGTATGTGTCCAGGGCATGGTCCCTGCAGTGAAGAGCTACATGGAAAAGCAAATCAGTGTCAGGTTTCCTAATAAACACAGGGTCACCCATGGGGGAGTAAATCAGGTGACCTTAACCTTAGCTATTAGCATTGAACTGCCCCACCCCAGTGGTCTACCTGCCAAAGACCAGAGCACCGCAGGCTTTGGCACTCATCTCTCAACAATGATAGGTGAGTTTTGGAAATTTACCTTCTTTGGTGGCTTTGTCAAAGTTCATCTTCCTTATACTGACTTTCTTTTTTCTTTCTTTCAAGTGTTTTTACTACGAAATGATTCGTGTATATTTTTTAAAAAGTGCAGGGAAAGATACCATGAATGCCTCTGCACCAGTCTCTTTGCTTAAGGACCGCCTCAGACACAGCATCCCCGTCGGTCTCCAAGCCCCGCCCCCTCCCACTGCACTGGGCTTGGCCTTAGTTCTTTCTGCACATCTGTTTATAATCTTACTACACATGGCTGTACCCCAAATAACATCAAGGGCTGTTTTGCCTGCTGCTAGACATGTTAATATCATCATACCATCATACCCTGCGCTACTTAATTCTTCAATGCAGTGTTGTTCTGGGAACTATCCATGTCCATACATAAGTTCTGGTCCATTCACTTTTCACTCCTGAGAAATATTCCATTGTCAGAACAGTCCATAGCCCATCTATATGTACTCCTAATTGACAGACATTTAGAGTTGTTTCCCTTTGTTGGGTTGTTTCCCAATGATAAGCAACGCTGCCGTGAACATTCCTGAACACAACGGACCCGTGTGAGATTGTCTCTGGGGCACACACCAAGGAATGGAATTCCCAGGTCTTAAGAAAAGTGCACCCCCAGCCCTAGTAGATATTGCCAACTGTTCTCCAGCCTGGTTTACTGATTTGCCTTCCCACCAGCAGCACTTGGGAGTCCCCTTCTTCCACATCTTGCCAACCCTCACCCATCTGATAAATGGGAAGTGGTAACTCATTACTATTTTAATTTCCATTTCACTTATTAGAGCCTCAAGATCTTGACACCCATTTAATGTATTCTCTGACTCCTCTTCTGTGAATTGCCTTGGTATTAAGATCATAAATTTTCCTGGCCCTGTGAGCTGACTGAGTCAGCGCATTGACCTGTGGTGGCAGCGGCCTGACATCTGTGAGGGCGGAGCTCTGTCCCTAGCGCTGAGACGCTTCACCTTAAGGCCACTCCTTGAAAGCTCTGAGCACAACCAGACCTGCTGGCTTTTCCAAGCTCTGACAGTACCCTTGGTCCACCCTAACACCACCACAGCCTAGATCAATTGCCCAACGTTATTATGGCTCCCTTCATCTCCTTGTCAAAGCCTAAAACCCACAGGCTGAGGCCCCAGAGCTGTGCTGATGTGCCTAGAACAAAGTGTAAAATAATGCCAATCCAGATGGAGAAACCAGCATTCCCGCTCAGTTGTTGCTGAGTCAACATAGATCACTCCAGAGAGCAATTTGCCAAGGAGCTCAAAGACTCAGTTATGAAGATGCTCACGATGGTGTTGTTTATAATCTCACCCAAAAGAAGAAATCACCTGTCCCTAAATGTCCAGCATCATGGTTTGACTAAACAAGGAATGTTATAACCCTCCGTGGAATACACTTTACAAAATCACACTGCAAACAAATGCATATGTCAAGGAACATTGTTCGGGAGTCTTAACTTGAGGACCACGGACTCCCCAGGAGCTGCTTCTCAAAGGGCCTTGGCATCGCCTGGCATGCCTATAAAATGCAGATTTCTGGGTCCCACTCAGACAGACAGAATGTGAACTTCCAGCTGGAGGGCAGGAATCTTAACCAGTTCTCCAGATGATTCCTAATTAATCAAGGCCACAGGGCCCCCAAAATTGGTAAGAAGCAAACTCTGGTGTATTAAGACAAAAAAGCAAGTTACATACAAATTCGATATATATAAAAATAACCCCGTGTGTGTGTTTGTGTGTGTGTACTAATAGGTACCTGGGTACCAAAGATCAATTCTAGGTCAGTTTCCCAACTTCATCATCACTGACACTCTAGGCCACACAATTCCTCAGGGTGGGGCTGTCCCGCATGTGGCAGGGTGCTCAGCAGCGTCCCGGGTCTCTACCCCCCAGATGCCAGGAACAGCCCCCAGTGGTAACAATCAAACATGTCTGCAGACATTGCCAAAGGTTCCCTGGGGAAACAGCCCCCCAGACTGAGAACCCATGCTCTAGACCTGCGGTCCCCAACACCTGGCGGTGGACTGGTACCAGTCCATGGCCTGTTAAGAACTGGGCCACGCAGCAGGAGGTGAGTGAAGCTTCATCTGTATTTACCGCCACTCCCCATCACTCGCATCACCGTAAACTCTGCCTCCTGTCGGATCAGCGCCGGCGTTGGATGCTCACAGGAGCACGAGCCCTGCTGGAACCTGCTTGTGGAGGGGTCTAGGCTGCGCTCCTTGTGGGAATCTAATGCCTGGGATCGGAGGTGGAGCTGGGCGGTGATGCTGGCGCTGGGGAGCGGCTGCTGACACAGGTCACCGTTAGCAGAGAGGTCCGACTGCAGACAAATGTAATGTGCTGGGATCGCCCCGACACCATCCCCACCCATGGTCCACGGAAAATTGTCTTCCGTGAAGCTGGTCCCTGATGCCCAAACGGTTGGGGACCCTGGTCTAGATGGGCAGTGTTATGATGACGTTTTCCTTTGTTCCTAGTACATATGCCTTTTTTGCATTTTTTCCAACATGAACATAAAGTATTTTGTAAACACATGTAAAAATAACTTGGTTTCTTAATGTCCCATTGCCTGTGCTGTTGATATGAAAAGATATTCACATTAGTATTTACAGTAAGTAAACTAATTTTATTATGATTTCAAAGTAGGTATAGAAAAACATATACAAAGGCCTCCCAAATATCAATATTCCTTAGGCATCTTTAAAATATTTAAAATGTTTATAACCTTTGGATTAGGCTGTCTAATTTTAATTATATATCTTAAAGAAGCAATACTAAATATAAGAAATGCTTTACAAATATAGTTAATTTTTGTAGTCATGTATAAAAGCAAAAAGTTATAAACATTCTAAAACTAATAATAGGAAACTAAGTTAATTATGATACATTCACTTGATAGACTATAATACAGCATTAAAATGATGTTTATAAAGAGTTTATAACAATATAGGGGAAACGTTTATGCCATACTGTTAAGTGGGTAAAACGCTGGATACAAAAGTGAACATGTTGCATCACCACCAGCAGGTACAATAATGACAATAAAAAGAATCCTATGCATCAACACAGTCAAAAGAAATATACCAAGATCTTAAAATGTAATTGTTAGTTGAACAATGGCATCACAGATGATTTTTTTCTCTACTTTTCTGAAATATCCAAGTTTTCTATAATAAATGTGTATATATTTATAGTGGAAAAGTAAATAATAAAATTTGTTTTTAAAAATACTTCAAAGTGATTACAAATAAAAACATGCCAAAATTTCAGGTTAGAAATATGTCTTCATATTGATCTATATATAAATTTCCATCCATATGAGTAAAGTAACTTTGTTCAGAAGTTAAGCCTATCAGAAACTAATAAGCTAACTGTGACTATACCGACCTTCATCAGCTCTGAGAAGGGTAAAGTTTAAGAGTGATTACTATGCAGACGGTCAGGGAAATGTATGGAGTCACACAATACATCATAAACAGAAAATGATTTTTATGCAAAACAAACTGGATAAATCTTTTTACAAACCTAGAATCACATTCTCCTAAAACAGAGTGGCTCATTTAAAACATGATAAAGTAATTTGGGTTTGATTAGAATGAACTAACCAAGGGCAGCTCTCACCTCCTGACTCTGATCTGACCTGTTTACATTTGTCAAGGGTGATGGGCAACTCCAGCCACAGGAAACAGTCTTTGCAGACAAAGGGTGGCCCTTCTCATATTTGTAAAGCAGTATTTGCCCAGGTGGCCTCGCCTTTCCCAGGTGGCTCCAGTGAACTCTCTCGTTCACTCATTCCTCAGTCTCTTGTGGACCCAGATTATATCTTACAATAGACCTCAAAGAGGGAGGCAGCTGCATGCATTCGGTAGAAAATAGAAAAAGGCATGGCCAGGTTGACCACAATTATCCAAGGTTCAAAGCCAAAGACAATTTCCTCCAATCCGTTGTCATACTCAGGGCGACAGCCAAAGGCGGGAGGTATCCAAAGCTGCAAGAGAAGAGAAAATGGCCTATCACGGCGAGCAGCTTCCAAGCCGTCTAGGAGGCCCCACTCGGATCCCGGGCACCACTATCTGGACTCATAGAAACTGAGTCACACCTGTCCAAGTGATAAGGAGACTGCACAGCATTTTCATCTCTATGGAAACCATCTAATCCATGAGCCTGCCATGAACCTTCTCTCTTCCTCACCCACCCCTCCTTGCAATCTGTCCTGAATGAATGCTTTTGAACCCATTCAATTCTCTCCATCCCTACCATCCTCACTGAGCCTCAGTTTTCTCATCTGTAAGATGGAATACTAGTACCCGTAGGAGAGGGCTAGGATGAAAACTAAGTTTGTGAAACTTAAAGCAATAACCTATTATTATACTTGTGTTGCTCGTGGGACTTACTGTCCTTTCTCAGCCTCTTCTCTGTCCCAGATGCCTCCCCTTCTGCTAGCCCTTCAGTTGTCAGGCTCCTCGGGGACTGGTCTTGGGCCCACTTCTCCCTCGGGCTGCCACTTCTACAGCTTTCTCCACTGCCACACCATGGCTGACAGCCTCTAGGATGTCCCTCCCAGGTCCCCAGCTCCTCAAGTCACTCTCTTGTGGAGTCCCCTCCCCTTGAGTTGGGCTGAACCTAGTGATTTGCTTCGAACACACGAGATATGGCAAAAGTCACGGGAGTCTCTTCTGCGATCAGGGCACTGAAGGATCTGGTGTCCATCCTGCTCGTCCTCTCTCCCAAGAGAGGAGGCCAACTGCCATGTGACAAATCGCCCCACAGAGAGACCACAGGCCAGAGAGCTGAAGGAGTCTCAGGAACAGTCCGAGGAACTCAGGCCCTCAGTCCAACAACCCTGCTGAATCCTGCCCACAACCATGGAGTGAGTTTGGAAACAGATCCCTGCTTTCAAAGTCAAGCCTTGGAATGCCAGCAGCCCTGCCGCCAGGCTGCAGCTGGGGCACGGCCCTGAGCAGAGACACCCAGCTAAGCTGTCCTTGGATCCGTGACTCAAAGAAACTATGAAAAAATAAATGTATGTTGTTTTAAGTTGCTAAGTTTGGGGGTAAGTTCTGAAACAACAATAGCTCGCTGACACGCGTGGCCTTCACTAGCTCCTCCACACAGCACTCCCACTACGCGCAGCTGGCCCTCTGCGGCCAGGGCACCTTCGGATCCAGTCAGCCGTGGGTCGAAAGTAGAATGGATGATTGTGTCTGTGCTGAACACGCACAGATGTTGTTTCTTGTCATTATGCCCTAGACAGTACAGTGTACAACCGTTTACACGGCAGTTACTCTGTGTTAGATATCATAACCTAGAGACGGTTCCAAGCATGTGGGTGGATGTGTGTAGTTATATGCAAATACTACCCCATGTGATATAAAGGACTTGAGCATCCATGCATTCCCATATCCACGGGGAGCATGAAACAGACACCCCTCGAATCCAGGGGGATGACTGCGTTCTTACTCCACTGTGCTCACTGGCTGCGCGACTCTAGAGGGCTGTCCCCTGTCACTGCCACCAGTTCTTCCATCTCCTTTGCTGTCTTCCCTTGGTCAGCCTCTTGACGTGGCCGGCACCAGGGCTCATGCCTGGGTCCCTGCTCTCCTCTGCACACAGGTCCCCGGAGCTCTCACCAAGTCCCTCGTGGTAAACACCAGCTACAGGCCTGTGACTTCCCAGTCTAAATCCCCAGCCTGGACTAGCTTCAAGAATTCCAAGTTTGTTTTCCACTGGCAACTTGGGTGTCTCGAACTCAGCCCACCTTCCCCATATCTTAGCTGCAACAGCCTCCTCCCAGGTGCTCCATCACGGTGCCAGTGTTGGCCTGTTTCCCTCTCACTGTCAGGAACATTGTCCCTGCCACCTGCCCCCCTGCAACCACGCGCCTCCACAGCAATAGCTTCAGCCCCTCCCGTCTCTGCGTCTCCACCTGTCCAGGCGGCCCTCTCTCACCTGGGCCATCGCGGTGGCCACACCTGGTCTCCCTGCCCGCACCACTGCCCCTGTAGGACATCCTTTATGCAGCGGCCACCTAGCTTCTATGGACACTAGATCATGTCTCTCCCCTGATTGAACCCCAGAGTTTTCCCAGAACACTTAAAATAGAACCCACTGTCCCCTGTGGGACTATAAAGCCCTCTGTCAGCAGAGTCCTGACCACCTGTTTCTTTCCCACCACTCACGCCAGCCACGCAGCCCTTCCTCCTCTTCCTCACGCCAGACCAGCGCACTCCCACCTCCACTGCCCAGGGCCCGAGTGGCCAGCCCCCACCCCCACCCTCACCCCCATGCCCACCCCCACCCCCACGCCCGCCTGACGCCGCCACTTCAGAGAGACCTTCTCTCTGAGCCACACGCCTCCACTTAGCAGCAGGGCCTCGGTGGGCTTTATTCTGTCCCCTGATTTGTAGGGACATAGGAGGCAGACCAGAGACCGCGGTCCCTGCTGCACCCTCATCACTCACAGCTGGGTCTGACCCCCCCGGGTACTCAGTGGGTGCATTTTAGGGAATGGAAGGCGGGAGGGGAAAGGAGAAAAAAGGAGGGAAAGAATCAGAGTTGTTTTGCGGACACATGGCGCTTCTGGCTCAGAGGGACCCTCCTAAGCTTTAGGCAAGTTGCAGCCCTGGGCATGTGCCAGCTGAAATTAGGGGGAGAAAGCTCAAAAGCCTCTGAGCTAACAGGGTAACAGGAGGACACCTGGTCACACGGAGGCGGTGGCAGAGCCGACTTCACCCTGAATGATGGGTGGGCACCTCCGTGGACAGGGCATTTCTCGCCAGCCACGGTCCCTGCAGAGGCCTGTGTGACACCAAAGTCTGCTTGTCCTTTTCACCACCCCTGCCACCCTTACTCTACGTGTCTCCAGGAAGTCCCCGACAGCACACGATGCTGTGTTCCTTTTTCTGCTCTCCACTCCCTCAGCACCTGCCCCGCTCCAGTTCTGCCCTTTCCCGCCTGGGCCTCTGTCCCAGAGCCTGCCTCCAGCGCTCCCGCTCTGCCCGCAAGCGGGCCGAGCTGACAGGGCCCTCTCCTGCCCTCAAAACAAAGAACAGCCTCCAGCCAGGCCTCGGAGCCTGCTCAAGCCAGAGCCCTCTACTGGCACTCTCTCCTCTTGCCGCTCGACCGTTCTGCTCAACACGTGTGAAATTCAGGCTCAACTACGTGCCGCTCCAAAGCATGCCATAATCACACAAGGTGTACCCTCTGCCCGAAACGCTTTTCCCTGCCTTGACCACCTAGTGAACTTCCAATCATTCCTTGCTGATGCAGACAACATTGGATGAGTGACTGAGTATACACCTTCACTGAGTATACACCCTTACTGCCTCCCACCTAGAGGCTGGAAAGCACACCATTCACATCCCAGCCTCCCTTGCAGCTAGGGTGCCCCCTACTTCCTGCCTCAGACATGATGCCTGGAGCTGCTACAGCCATCTTATGACCATGTGGCAACAAGCACCACACCAAGCATGACTGAGTAGAAGGACAAATAGTGCTTGGGTGCCTGATGACCTGGTGCAGCTGCCAGGCCACCACCAAGCAGCCAGCCTCTGGAATTCTTCTGAGATAATGAGATGTCATTAAGACTGAAGACACTGCTGACCACATTCTCCATCGCAGCTGAAATGACTCCTGATTTGTGCTGAGCCTCACCTCAAGCACGCCCCACCACTGAAGTCCCTCCGGATCCCTGCCTCCAGGACAGCTGGCACATACCCTGTCTCAGCACGTGTCCTGCAATCTCCTTGGCCCCTCCTCCACTATACTGTGACCTTTCCGAGGAGAGAGACTAAGTCTTCTCACCTTTAATACTGAGTGCCCAGCCCAGCCCCGGTACACAGTGGGGCTTGTGGATGAATTTGTAGAATGTAGGTCTACTTTCCAGCCTCATTTTCTAACCTGATATTTACAGTATTTTTATCACAAGCTGCCTCCATTCCTTATTTGAAAAGGGCAAGGAAAATAGATTAGTTGACTTAAAAATAATACCAATAACTTGATGCAGATTACCGAAATATTGCAGAGGAACAAAAAGGCTGCAACATTCCTCAAGACTCTCCGTTTGGCGGTGCCCTGTAAGGAGCGGAGACAGCAGGCTGGGCTCGGGGGCCCTCCCGAGCCACTCTCCTCTTCTTCCTCCCCAGAGCCCCCTCCCAGACACGCGTCCCCACTGGCTGCGCGTGGCGAGTGTCCACCCCGGGGAGGCTGGTCTCGGGCCACACCTCCAGCCTCGAGGCAGGAAGAAGCCAGGCCAGACGCGCTGCCATTGCAGACTGTGACCACCCGAAGAGTCCGGATGTCCTCGGAGAGCGTCTCAGGCCCTCGGTGGGCAGACTCGATGATGAAGAGGTTCTGGACGTATTTCTCCACAATCACCAGGACGGAGTAGGGCAGGCTGTACCAGGTGTAGGGCGGGCGATCCTCGGCACAGAGGATGGCCAAGATCGAGCCCCAGGAGATGAGCCAGGAGCCCGAGGCAGTGCCCACCAAGAGGTCGGAGTCCAGTTTGCGGGCCGGGTTTTTGGACTCATCTAGTGATTTCTCATCCATCCTGTAAATCCGGATTCCAACCAGCCCTGCAGCCCCCATGAGCATCAGCAAGACGATGGCATACAGGTAGAACATGATGAGTGCTGACTCGCTCTTGGTTTTGGAGCGCCCGATCCGAATCAGGTACACCACGACCACCCCGATGGTGGCGGCCAGCGCAGTCAGGCCCAGGGCCGCGCCCACCACGACCCCGCTGGACGTGAGCTGCATTTTCTGGTGCTGATGGTTGTCAACCTTGCGCCCTATGTTTTTCCACAAGACATAGAGCATCGTGGAAGCCAGGATCTGATACTCGATGTTGAAGGGGCTCAGGTAGTAGATCCCGTGGGAGATGGCCGAGCAGAGAGGCAGGGGGCTGCAGTTGCACTGCGGGGTGTGGTCGTCTAAGGCTGAGGGCAGGAGATCACAGGAAGGATTAGCACGTGCAGGGGGTGAGTGGACAACACAGAGAAATATTTCCACTGTGGACTCGTGTGTGGGTCTTCCCACCAGATTACTAGCTTTATTTCATGGCTTATCACCACGTTTGGTAGCATGGCTAAACTGATAGCCATGAATATCCCCAAAAGGGTATTCATCACATAAATCATATTTATTTGGCAGATTGCCAAAGAGGATAAAGACTATGACTCCTTTTTTATTAAAAAAGGGATATGTAGATAATAGATATAGTAATATATAGACAGACATAGAAAAAAATCTGGAAGGACATAAACTTAAATGTTAACGATGGTTATCTCTGGGTAGAAAACTGACAGATGATTTTTATTTTCTTCTAGATTTTCTTCTATTGTAGGTTTTGCTTCCCAGTATTTTCTAAATTTTCTCTATGAATATGATTTATGTCTGTGATTTTTACACTTATTTTTAAAATACTTTGTGGGGGGCCGGGCGTGGTGGCTCACAGCTGTAATCTGGCACTCTTGGAGGCCAAGGTGGGAGGATCACCTGAGCTCAGGAGTCTGAGACCAGCCTGAGTAAGAGTGAGACCCCATCTCTACCAAAAAAATTAGCCAGGTATGGTGGCGCCTGTAGTCCCAGCTACTCAGGAGGCTGAGGCAGGAGGATCACTTGAGCGTGAGAGTTGGAGGTTACAGTGAGCTGTGATGACACCACTGCACTTTCCCAGGGCGACAGAGAAAGACTCACTTTAAAAAAAAATACTTTGTGGGGGAAATGCCCCTTCTAATCAGCAAAGAATTGCCTCTTAAGGCTCTCCAACGCAAGCAGACATGGCAGGAGACCAGCACTCTCCAACACCAGTGAGGGCATGCAAATGTGCACCACCTTCTAGAAAACAACCCGGCAACAGCACGAAGGACCATTTCATAACAAGAGGAAAAGCGCTGTAAGTAAACAATGAAATGTGTAAGTAGAGCATTAAAGGTGGCATAGATATAGTCATCATCCCAATGTAGTCTTCTGTTCTACGGGATAAGTAAAAAATGTAATCAACAAGTTAGGTAAAATTGTGTGTGTGTGTGTGTGTGTGTGTGAGAGAGAGAGAGAGAGAGAGAGGGGGGGGGAGGGAGGGAGCAGGGAAGGAGAGAAAAACACCTCAGTGTCTAACAATTTAGATATTAAGTGAGTTTTAGTACATCCATACAATGGAATAGTAAGTAGGCATTAAAAATTATAATCAAGATGTATTTTAATGATATAGGAAAGTATTCATGTTGAATGAAAATGGAAAAAAGTAAGAACAAATTACATATCCAGTATTTTTTTAAGTACAGTTCACAACCCAGTACCAGGTTATAAAATCAGTTTAGAGGGTAGCAACCAACATTTTTTTAACAGAATAAATTTGCAATGGAATAAAATAGGATAGAATGGAATGGAATTGAATACAATAAAAATTTGAGACTGTCCTTGAAATAGTAAGATTAAGTATTATTTCATGATATATACATACACACAGGTATGTGTGTATTTGTGTTACAATGCAAAATCTATTTCTTATTTAAGTCTGGAGTCAAAAACAGATTGAATATATACAGTATAAAATCAACTATAAATAAATAAATAGCACATTACAAAGAAATAGCCAAATGTTAATGGCATTTACTGTATTTCTGGGTAGGTATTATTGTGGATTGTTTCTTTATACTTTGTCATTGTTTTAATTTATGATATATATATATACACATATATATATACTACTCATAAATCAGATGGAAAAGCTTTACAGTAACATTAATGACCCTCCCTTTTGCAGAGCACTATGCAATTTGCAATTTTTAAGGAGTTTCCCGACCCCTGTAACTCAACACAGTATTATGTAGGAGAAATCAGGAAAAAAATTTCACATTAACAGAACATTAGAACTGATGGAGTCCTTTTTTAGTGAATTAATCTAATCATATCTTTCACAATCTTGGAGCCAGATTGTAGGATTCATATCCTGGCACAACTTCACGGTCACTGTGTGACCTTGGGCTACTTACTTCTCTGTGGCTTCGTCCATATGATGAGGTTAACATCGCCTACCTCGGAGTACGGGGACAGGAATTAAATGAGCCAATGGAAGCTGCTGCGGACAGTGTTGGCCACTCAGCAAATGCTTAATAAAAGCTTGCTTTTGTTTTTGTTGTCACTGCTGTTACTGGTATTGAGACCGGGGAGGAGATGAGGCCCAAAGAGCGAGAAAGACCTCCCCAAGGGTGGGCTGCTAGCTGGGGGTGGTGAGGAAACACAGTACATGCCCCTGATTTCATCGTCTCCACTCCACCAACGAGGAAACGGGTTCAAAGCTGCTCTATAGCACGGCCCAGGGCTACACAGTGAGCATAGACTGGGGCACATCAAAGGTGGAAGGGACGTTAGCAAGCACAAGGCTCAGGCCTCCTCGTTTCGCAAATGAGAAGAGGGAGGCTCGGAGAGGTTGAACAAAAGGGCACGCAGCTAGTATGTGCCAGGAACAAACTTGGGACTCCACTTTCCTCTACCCGACAATCCCGTCAAACTGGATGTTCCAATATACAAGTAACATAGCATAAATGCTAAAGAATTTTGTTAAAATATATATATATAAAGATGAGAGCTACAGGCTCTCAAATAGGAACGAGAATCAGACGGGTCAAACTTACAAGTCACAGCCAATTGGCCACAACCTCCCATCAGATTTCTATGAATTTTTTAAAGTCATACTTTTAATAGAACGGGAAATAGAGATTTAATCAGAAACACAAACAGAAATGACCATCAATCTTTCAACGTTGAAAACAAAGACATTTATTTCTGCAGCAAACTGGACCACGAGGATGGCCTTCGAAATGACAGCCCCCTACAAGTCCCGCAGCGTGGAGGAAACCAGCAATTATGCTCAGTGCACACTGCTTATGAGGCAGGCGGAGAGACTAGGGGAGGTTTTGTAAGACTTTCAATAACCGGGGACTGTCTGGCCCATGCCGAGACGGGGGACCTGCAGTGCCTTGGACCCTGCCGCCCCGTCTGTGAGCACTGGGGCCTCTGCAGGGCTCCGTGACGTCCCGACACGGTGGAAGGGCCACTCACCTTCTGCACCACTCACCTGTCGTTATGTTCCCAAACCCCAGAGTGATGAGTCGTTCCTTGTGCTCATTGAGCTGATGCTTCGACTCATTAAGGACACCATTGGCCCACAGAAGCAGGTTGGTGAACACTGAGTGGATCACCCCAAACCTAAAAAAGACAAGGACTCAGTTCCTGAGTGACTCTGGGAAAACTCCAAGCCCACGGTGTGAGACACACACATACCCTTTTCAGCGCGATTCTGGTTTTACCTGGCAGCTCAGACTCTGGGAGGATCCCCTATCTGCCTGGGAGGGGCACTGCCATGGGATCTTCCAAAACCACAGTCTTGGCATTCCGCTTAATCTTGAACTTGCCAGTACTCTACTCATTGTCTATTGGACACCAAAGAAGCTGGGTCTCAGAAGCGGGGCTACAGGAATGAAAATGTACTAAAAGCAGGTGGCCAGCCCCACCATACCCCAAACCCTTTTTCCAGAACGGAAGAAGAGAGAACAATGAGGGAAAGATGAGTGATACTGGAAATGTGAAGAGTGCGTACCCCCTACTATTAGGTGGGCAATCCAAGCATCATCATACACCCACTCTGCCTTATCACCTGCCTCTAAAGACACAGAGACTCCTCTGCAGCCAGGCGTGGTCATTCTGGCCAGTGGCATATGAAATGGAGTCTGCTGGACATCACTGAAAAGCTTTTGCTTTCTTGATGAAAAAGATAAGAATGAAAAAGGTCTGCTATGGTCCCTTTCCCTTTTTTTTCTAACCTTGAATGCAGACATGAAGGCTGGAGTTGTGGCAGCTGTCGTATGATCATGAGGCCACCAGCATGGGCTGAAGCCCCCACTCACAAAGGATGGCATAGTAGAAACCTAGAAAGAGTCTGCTCTGAGACGGCACTGTTGAGCTGCTGGAGTCTCAGATAAGTTCAGAAATTAGTTCATGGTGACACATAGAGAAGCAGCCACACTGGGGTTTGAAGAGTCAGTTAGCAGCAGTGCTATTCTGTTCCGAGTTGCGTCCTGCTCTTGCCTCTACACCACAGGGTCTCCTACAGCAGAAGGTGGGAAGGGGGACTAAGTCGGAGGTGGACACTGGACTCTGGGCAGCAGAGGAGAGGCCTGTGGGGAATGTGGCTTCCATGCAGTCACTACTGCTCCAAGTGCTCCCATGCTCGCAGGTTGTGGTGGCTTTCAGGGCACTTGGCAGTGTGCCTTGCACGGAGCAGGCACAGCAAACACGGGTGACTTGAGAGAGATATTCTTTAAAACTTTCTGTGGGGCTGATCACTCCTGAGTCAGAGAGCAGGGCCCCGAGGAAGCATGCTCCCTCCCTGCCCACTGAGGGGCCACCTGTCCACGACCCACCTACAGGGAAAACGATGCATCTGTGTCCTCGGCCCTGACCCCGCCTCTGCTCCGAATCTCCCCAGCTGGCCCTGCTGGGGCCCCCATGGGCCACTGTGGGCAAAACCTGCCTCATTTGAACCCTGACTTCCTTTGGCAGCTGCATAATGTCCAGGCACAACTGGAGAAAGAAACAGAATCCCGGGGTGTCCGGGCAGGTGTTTGCCCATCTGTTTGCCCCTGAGGTTGCCCGGTTGCTATAGGTCACGCCAGCCTTCCCCGAGGCGTCTGGGCGGCGTTCTATAGAGCCTTTGACAAACGCAGACAATGCCGTTGGCCTCCGACTGGCTGGCTTTTCTTTTAGTCATAATGTACACAGCCCCCCTTTCTTCTCTCCTTTTTCCTGGTCCCAATGGCATTGTCCAATCCCAGGCGCACGGCACTCAAGGAGGTAGGCGATGCCACCCACAGCTGCAAACTGCTCTGCCGAGCAAGCTCTCTGCGAGCTGGCAGCCTCCTGCCCTACGGCTGAGGTCAGGTGTCCTTGCCCGTGTGCCGCGGCCTTTCCCACACCTGCATCCAATAGCCCAAGACCTCAACGAAGGCGAGGCTTCCATGAGCCATTTCTGATCTCAATTCATGTTTCCGGCTCTACTTTTAGAGCCCTTGTCCCTCTGAACCTTGCCTCTGGGACAAGAAAAGGACTCAAACCAGCAAAGGAAATTCTCAGATGAGGAGAAAATGGTCTGTATGTACTGAAAGTGTGGGAGAGTGGAATGGTGGCTCAAAAGATCAGAAAATAACAGTAAGTCCAGGGGTGGCAAGTTCGGAAGCCTTCGGAGCCTGGCAGGAAATGTCAATGAATAAAGCAGGTCTAGAGGACACTAGGGAGTAGTGGGGACTGTGGCAAATGGAGGGCCCAGCCCCCACCTACAGGGTGCAACCTGGACCCAGCTCTCACCCTTTGTTGCCATGCTCTTTTGGGATTGCTAAATCTGATTTTTCTAGAAAAGTCTCAATCTAAAATCTAAAGGTAGTAAGTAATTCAAAAATGTTGAACACTTTGCCCTAGAAACAAAACAAGATAAATGAAACTAAACCCTCATCTGGCTCAAACCGTTCAGTCTCCAGTTTTGGAAGGAGGCCCAGAGCAGAGACAGACTCATCTCCCACACGCACCACGCGAGGCCAAGGCCAGCCCAGGCCAGCCCCACGGCCCCTCAGACGCAGGGTCCTGGAGGGAGCGTCGTGCGCAGCCTAGAGCAGGCTGTCTGGTGAGACGCGAATGCAGGACACAGATGGGAGCCCCCTATATAATTTTAAATTTTCTAGTAGTTACATTTCTAAAATCATAAAAAGGAACAGGTGAAAATAATCTTAATAATATTTTGTTAAACCAATTCATCTAATATGTTATGTCAACATATAGTAATCTCAAAATAATTATTATTGAGATATTTTACTCTCTGTTTTCATTCTAGTCCCCCAAATCTGGGGTACTTGACACAGCACATGTCAGTTTGCTCTGGCTACAATCCACGGGCTCAGAAGCCACCTGTGCTGGGAGCTGCTGACCCAACGGCAAGGCCGCAGATTCCCGCACTTGGAGGGAAATGGACCCATGAGTCCTGAGGCTTTGATTAAGTTAGCGGCCAAGCACAGAGAAGGACTTCACCCAGCTGGCAGCTACCACAGTCACCATCAGCATTCAGGTCCCACAAAGGCTGCCTGGCCTGGGCATTTGCCTCATTTCTCTGAGCCTCAGTTTCCTCATCGGCTAAATGAGAATCATGATCATACATATTGTTACCGACTGACAGGGTTGCTATGCAAGAGAACCTCATGAGCAGCATGTAAATGGAAGTGCTTTTTAATGGGAGAGTTAATATGATTCGGCAGGAGTTCTGGGGACAATCTGCTCACTCGCATTTGGGGACAAAATCTCACCCTTCATCCTAACAATTCTACTTCTAGGAATTTAACCCAAGAAAATAATAAGATGTTCAAAAATATTTTTGACTGAAGATGTTCACCACAGTACTACTTATAATAACAACAAACACTTTCAGACAAATTAAATATCTAATGATAGGTGTCAGGGACAGAATTATGTCCCCACTTCCTGCTCCAAATTCATGTTGAAACTCTAATCCCCAATGTGACTGTATAAGGAGATAGAGTCTTCAAGGAGGTAACTAAGGTTAAACGAGGTCATAAAGAGGGGCTCTGATCCAATGGAACTGGTAGCTTTATGAAGAAGAGAAAGACACACCAGAGCTCGCTCTCTGTCCGCCAGCGAGAACAGTGAGAAGGTAGCCGTCGGCAAGCCAGGGAGAGAGCCCTCACCACACACCAGCCTTGCTGCATCTTGATCTTGGGCTTTGAGCCAAGATCTTCTCTTTGAGAGAGAGAGAGACAGACAGACAGACAGACAGAGACAGACAGAGACAGACAGAGAGACACAGAGACAGAGAGAGACAGAGACAGAGAGAGAGACAGAGAGAGAGATCTGGTGTCTCTTCCTCTTCTTATAAGAGTACTAAAGCTACCATGGAGGCACCACCCTCATGACCTATCTAAACCCAGTCAACTCTCAAAGGCCTCACCTCCAAATGCGATTCCTTTGGAGGTCAGGACTTCACCATGTGAATGGGGGTAGGAGAGGAATGAACATCCAGTTCATAACAGAGTCATCACAGGGATTCTTAAATTCTACTGTAGCCTCACAAGTTTATCAGGAAAAAAAGAACAGTTTCTAAAGAATAACCTTATGGAGCAGATGAAATGAAACCCATGACTGGGACAAAACCAGCCAAAGTCATCCACAAGCTGCCGCTGGAGCCCTGCCCCAGGGCTGGAGGGAGAGCAGGGGGGCACACACACTCCTCACTCCCCAGCGCCGAGAGGGGACAGCCCAGAATGGAAACGTCAGGCCTGACACTGGCACTCTGGCAACCTGGGGCAAGTCTCACCCTGCTGGAGCCTGCTGCCCATCTGTTTAACGAGGACTAGAGCTTGTGTATGAATTGAATGGGGTGATGGATGAACGTGGAAGTCTTCATCCAGCTCTAAGGGACAATTGAAGTTATTTGGGGGTGGGGGGTCCTCATTTGTCCATTGTCCACCCCTGCCAGGCACAGCTTTAGCACTCACTTCTAGCTCTTCCCTTGCTCCCCTTGAGCCAGCAGCAGGGCTTCTGGTATTAGTAGGACTGGGGTAAAAGGTCACTGCCAAGGACGCCACAGGCTGCCCAGTGCCACCTGCAGGATGCCACTCACACCGCTGAGGATACCTGCGTCACCATCACCACACATACCAGTGGTGCCGGCAGCAAGCCCTGCTCACAGTCGGGCCTCAAAAGGTGTCCAAATGCTGGCTGACATGGACCCTTTTTGCCTAATAAAGTTGCTGGAATCTGTTTCTATTTCAGTGGTCAACTGAGACAATTCCATCCAGCGGTCATACATAAATTCGTCTTTTAAATATCAGTTGTCATTTTAAGTGGTACTGGGGAGTTTTTTGTTCCTCTTTAAGAGTTTATGTGATGAGAGACCCTTCCATACAATGCTGATTATCAGTGTGTGCACACAGTGCTTTCTCACGGGACAATGATGCCTTGTATTTAGGTCAGTCACCCTGTTATCCTGTGGATTCTCTCCTTTGAGCCTCACAGTCACCTGAGAGCACAGGGGACAGAGACAGTGACAGACCCGGCACTTCCCGAGGGCCTGTTCTGTGATGCTGTCGCCAGCTACCTCGTCTGTCCTCAGAGGCAGCCACATCACTGTCTCTGAAGGAAACCAGAAGAGGCCGCTGCCCCTGCCGTGCTTGCCTGACGGCAGGCCAGAGCCTCTCTTCCTCCCTGGCCCGGGACGGAGATGTGAGTGCTGTCCTCGCCGGCACAGTTCTGGGTTCTTATCAGCTCAGAAACTGCTCTAGCAGGGATAGGGGAATCTGAGCGCAAACTTGCCTTAGTCTTGTCATTATAGGATGCCTAGCAAATCTTTGTTCAAAATACTCTTTAACCCACTGCCTTGAGAGAGACGCTGCTGACATGATGGGTACAGGATATTTCAATAAATTTCTGCTGGTTTTTCTCTTGTTAATCTGACCTTTGTTTTGAAGAGACTGTCTCGACCAGGCACCTATAAAGCTTAAAAAAGAAATTGTGCTGTCTTCCCTTTGTCTCCATTTTTCGGATGAGGAGACTGGGGGTCCTAGAGGGGAAGTGTCTACGATGAAGAGCTGAAATCCAAGATTCAAACCCACACCATGCCACTTCCAGGGCGAGCCCCAGGAAGGGCGAAGGCGGAGAGCCTCCTCTCGCAGCCACGAGTGAGGGCTTTGCCGTCAGAGCCGAGTGCACAGTTGGTCTCGGATTTTATAACCCAAGAAGGATGGCAGGAATGAGTTTTGTTTGTTCTAAATGAAACAACAAATTCAACATATAAGCAATCACCCACAACTTTTACCTTTCTAGTGTTTTGAAAGACTGGATAATATCCTTTGCATGCCCCCAAAGGAAAAATACCTAGATGGAAATAAAGAGAGATTAAAAATATGTCAGTGGGAAAATCATCATTATATTTGCAAACCTGAGAAGCTATAAAACTCAAAGAAAAGGTCGGGGAAATGCTGGGGACATCAGTGACCTCCCATCACATCTCAGGAGGCAGCACCACCCCCAGCGGGGACAGCAGCGCACGAGTGCTGAGCTGTGGGGCAGGTGGGGGCTCACGGCTCGGCGCCACCCCAGTGGGGACAGCAGCGCACGGGTGCTGAGCTGTGGAGCAGGTGGGGGCTCACGGCTCAGCGCCACCCCAGTGGGGACAGCAGCGCACGAGTGCTGAGCTGTGGAGCAGGTGGGGGCCCACGGCTCAGCGCCACCCCAGTGGGGACAGCAGCGCACGAGTGCTGAGCTGTGGGGCAGGTGGGGGCTCACGGCTCAGCGCCACCCCAGTGGGGACAGCAGCGCACGAGTGCTGAGCTGTGGAGCAGGTGGGGGCTCACGGCTCAGCGCCACCCCAGTGGGGACAGCAGCGCACGAGTGCTGAGCTGTGGGGCAGGTGGGGGCTCACGGCTCGGCGCCACCCCAGTGGGGACAGCAGCGCACGAGTGCTGAGCTGTGGAGCAGGTGGGGGCTCACGGCTCGGCGCCACCCCAGTGGGGACAGCAGCGCACGAGTGCTGAGCTGTGGGGCAGGTGGGGGCTCACGGCTCGGCGCCACCCCAGTGGGGACAGCAGCGCACGAGTGCTGAGCTGTGGGGCAGGTGGGGGCTCACGGCTTGCAGAAAGCAGTGCGCGATGGCTTGAGGATGCCTGCGGGGGGTGCGGGGCTGGCGGCATGTCTGTCATGAAGCCTGAAACCGGTTTATGTCACATATGTCAGGTTCATCTAAGAAATACCCACCGAACAGTTACTCTGCACCAGTGGCCAGAAACCAAATGCTGAGTGCTTTAGACAAAGAAGAAAATGGATTTGGGCTGGTCTTTTATTTCATTCATTGGTTGCGGAGGTTCCACACTAATGTTGCTGTCAATTCATCGGTAGGAATGTCTTTACCGGGCAAGTGTTCTTCTGAAAACATCTCTGAATTACAGCAGTCCTGACCAATGTCTGGTCATATGCCTTATCAGAGCAGGACAGGCATGAGGGGTTGTAGAAAGTCCTCGGAAACCATTATCTCCGGAGTGTAAGCCTAGGTCTCCTCAGATCTTCCCAGCCCTATTCTGTCCGGGTCTAACAAAAGTCACTCCATCCTGGTATCTGCAGCTTTCACAGCAATTACCACAATTTTAGAATAAATCAATAAATGCTCTATTTTTTGGAACAGAATCTGATGCAGTTTTGTTTTTTAAAACTAATTTTTTCATTCTCCAGTCATCTAATGTAGCAAAAGCATGCAGTAGTAAGTGTCCAAAAAGTACAGAATGATTAATTGATTGACCAGCCAATAAAAAAGCCTTAATTTTGGAAGATAGAGCTCTCCAACCCACAAAATAAGAGTGATATTCTGAAAATTCACCTCTGCCAGGTCACTCATCCACCTCAAGCCTTCATGGCTCCCCACTGCCCTCCAGGTGGACCCGAGGCTCCTAGGTGGCGGGCAGCCTTGGCGTGGCGCTTGCTGCAAGCCCAGCCCTGTGCAAAGTGCTATCCAGACACCGGCACCTTTAATCCTCACAACAAACCTCTGAAGTAGGTACTGTGACTGTCCCCAGGAGGCTCAGAGAAGCTGAGTAACTTCCTGAAGGTTGCACTGCTGGTCAGAGCCAGGGCCAGGCAGTCGGACCAAGGTCCAAGCTCACAAGCCCCACCAAACCGTGGGTCCAGCTTGCGCCCACCACCCTGGCCTCCTCTGCACCACGGCCACGTGCCCCCCGTCACGCATGGGGCCACACATCCCACGGACGCATCTTCCAGTAGCCTCGGATCCTGTGCTGCTCCCTCCTACACGGCCAGCTGTGGGGCGCTTCCCTGGCAAGGCCACCCCTCCCTCCAAGCTGCCCAAATGCCCTCCTTTGTGCCCCCTTGTCACTCTGGGCCATGTTGCTCAAAGCACTGAGCCTAGTGTTGTTACCACCTGCTCTTGTGCTGACACTGCATATGACACTCTAGTGTCCTAATAGCGAGAACAGCGTTTGCCTAGTACTTAAAAGTGGGCTGGGTGAATAAACGAGTGAGTGAATGAATGAATACAGCTCTTTCTGGCCTCACTAAAGCTTTCCACATTGTCTCTGATATTGCCATAGGCTCTAATACCACGGGATTTTGCTGCCCTGGAATGAATGGCCAGCTAACTCTCACACCAGGCAGCTCAGGCTACCAGAACAAAGGGCCACAGACTGGCAGCTTTGATAACAAAACCCATCTTCTCAAAGTTCCAGAGGCTGCAAGTCCAGGATCAGATGCCGTCAGGGTTGGTTCTTTCTGAGGTCTCTCTCCCTCCTTGGCTTGTAGACAGCCACATCCTTCCCTGTCCTCACCTGTCCTCACCCTCTGTGAGTGTCTGTGTCCCAATCTCCTCTTCTTACAAGAACACCAGATTGAATTAGTGCCACCCTGATGACCTTATTTAACCTCAATTGCATCTAAAGGGCCCTATCTCCAATACAGTCACATTCTGAGGTACTGAGGACCAGGGCGAAAGCATAAGAATTTGAGGGAGATACAATTCAGCCCACAACAACTTTCAAATGCAAGGCACCCCTTCAGATCCGCCCATCCCCGGCAGGCCCTCAGCCTGCTCCACCATGCTGCCACTGCGATGACTGCTTCTGTGCTCCTCTGGCGTGTCCTGGACAGCTGCACCGTGTGAGAATGTGTTTGACCTTAAGAAACATTCTAAGGTCATCTGGAGCCATCTGGTAAGTCGACCAGGTATACAAACTGATGATCACTTTGGATAAAAGATGAGTTTTAAAAATGGCATCATTGGCTTTATGAAGGTGGAAAACTGTGTTCAAAGGGCATTCTCAAACTGGAAACCCAAAAATATTCTGAGCAATGACTTTATCACTAGAACAAGTTCATGATCTTCCAGGGTGACTTGTCAGGAAGAAAATACTCATTGTGTCTCAGCCTCAACTTTGAGATAGTCACTTGTCTTCTCTGAGCTCCAACTTTTTCCTTAAAAAAAATGAGGGCAGGCCCTGCCATTCTGCAAAAAGGAGGACAAGCTAGAGGACATTATGCTGAGTGAAATGAGCCAGACACAGAAAGAAAAATATTGCGCGATCTCACTTTTATGTGGAATCCAAAAAAAAACCTTTTTAAATCAAATACATAGAAACAAAGAGTAGAATGGTGGCTGGAGGAGATGAAATGGGAAATGCTGGTCAAAGCACACACAGCTGCAGGTACACAAGAAGGACTGTTACCAAACTAGTGCTCAACACAAGACTGCAGTTACCAATGTATTGTACACGGGAAATTTGCTGAGAGAGTAGATTCTAGGGGCTCTTACCACAAAAACAGCAACAAACAAACAAAAAATAAAGGTAACTGCTATGCGATATGATGCCAGGTATGTGAATTTGCCTAGCTGCAGCAGTGTACAGCAGTGTACCTGCGCTGTGTACAGGACATCAGAACACCATGTCGTCAGCCCAATCCATGCAATACAAAAGAAGAAAACGAGAGTGACCATCCAACACCTGTTATTGTGGAGCTGTCAGAAGGATTACATGGAGAGATAAGTGAAAAGTGCTTTGTACACTCCAACATGCCATAGAAATACTAGCTATCCCTTTTGTCATTAGACCAACGGGCATCCCCTCCTAGCTCCGACAGCCACTACCAGGGATTCCTGCCAAGGATGGATGCTACATTGGAGGCCCACCCAGGATCCTTTTTAACCATGAGATTTTTCTGACTCTAAGCTCTACTTTTAAATTCTAGTTATCAAATCTTTACTTCTTATTTCACAAATCCACACCAAGTTCACCGTTGCTAGGGAAAACATCCTCATACATTTCTAAAAGATTTTAATCCACAAGTGGGCAAAGTCTTTCCATGACCCTGCAATGGCACGAGGTTTCTTTTGGGGGTGATAAAAATGTTCTAAAACTGATGGTTGCAATACTTGGGCAACTCTATGTATGAACAATCTAAACCACTGAACTGTATACTTTAAATGGGTGAATCACATGGCATGGGAATTCTATCTCAATAAAGCTGTTACACCAAGAAAAAGAAATTCCTCCAATCCTTCTCCCGTAGATTCGGCAGGCTTGGCAGAATTTCTATGTTCTATGTCCTATGTTCTACCTCCCAGCATCCCCACAGAGGTGGCCGAGGGGACACAGAGCCCCATTCTGCAGTGGAAGTGGAGGGAGAACTGAGCCGCAGAGACGGACTCCAGTCCCCCTGGGGCTCGCTGGGCAGTCTGCGGCTGCTCGTGCTGCCCCCGCGTGCTGCTGTCTCGGCGATGCGGGTTCATATGCCCCGGGAGCCACTTAACAGGAACCGAGACAGCGCAAATAGACACCAGTTGTTTACCTGCAGCAGAGTGTGCACTGTGTGTGTGACAGGGAAGACTCCTTCAGCGGCTGATAAACATTTTGAAAATCCAACAAAGTATCCAACCTTAAGGCCTCCCAGGATGATGGTGATGACAGCGAACAATGTGATGCTACCTAAATTTGGGGGGTGGGGAGGTAAAAACACACACATACACATGTTAATATGCACTGACGTTGTTTCAAAATAAATTATATTATTTTTTTAAGATTTAAAAATGTTTATTAAGCCACTTATATTGCCTTTTGTGTTAACTGTCAGTTCTCATCTTTTCTTATTTTTTTTATTTCATAGCATTATGGGTATACAAATGCTTTGGTTACATAGATTGCCTTTGCACCTCCCAGTGAGCATGCCCATCCCCCAGGCAGCACGCACCACAGCTGTGAAGTGTGGATTTCCCCATCCCTTCCTCCTCCTCCCACCTGCTCAACACCCTATGAATGCTGCTTCCCATTTGTGCACATTAGTATTGATCATTTGGTACCAATTTAATGGTGAGTACATGTGGTATTTGTTTTTTCATTCTTGTGATGCTCCACTTAGAAGAATGGGCTCTGGCTCCATCCAGGATAACATAACAGGTTGTTGATTTTTTATGGCTGAGTAGTAGTACTCCATGTTATACATATACCACATTTTGTTAATTCACTCATGTATTGATGGCCACTTGGGTTATTTCCACATCTTTGCAATTATGAATTGTGCTGTTGTAAACATTCAAGTGCAGATGTCTTTCTTATAGAATGTCTTTTTTTTCTTTTGCCCAGGTATGGGATTACTGGATCAAATGATAGTTCTACTTTCAGTTCTTTGAGGTATCTGCATTCTCCATACTATTTTTTTTTCTTTTTTTTCTTTTCTTTTCTTTCTTTTTTTTTTTTTTGAGACAGAGTCTTGCTTTGTTGCCCAGGCTAGAATGAGTGCCGTGGCATCAGCCTAGCTCACAGCAACCTCAGACTCCTGGGCTCAAGCAATCCTGCTGCCTCAGCCTCCCATGTAGCTGGGACTACAGCCATGTACCACGATGCTCGGCTAATTTTTTCTATATATATTAGTTGGCCAATTAATTCTTTCTATTTATAGTAGAGACGGGGTCTTGCTCTTGCTCAGGCTGGTTTCAAACTCCTGAACTCGAGCAATCTGCCTGTCTCGGCCTCCCAGCGTGCTGGGATTACAGGCGTGAGCCACCATGCCTGGCCTCCATACTATTTTCCACGGAGGTTATACTAGTTTGCAGTCCCACCAACAGTGTATGAATGTTCCTATAAATTATATTACTTTTTAAACCTTCATATATATGGTCAAATGATTTTTGACAAATGATTTTTGTCAAGACCATTCAATTAAGTCTTTTCAACAAATGGTATAGGGAAAACTGGATATCCACATGCAAAAGAATCAAGTTGGACCCTTACATTACACCATATACAAAAATTAACTCAAAATGGATCAAAGACCAAATATAAAAGCTAAAAGCATAAAGCTCTTAGAAAAAATCATAGGGGTAAAGCTTCATGGCATTGGATTTGGCAATGATTTCTTGGCCATCACACCAAAAATGTGAGCAACAAAAGTTAAAATAGATAAACTGAACTACATCAAAATGAAAAAAATTTGTGCATCTCAGAAAACTACCAAGAGAGTGAAAAGACAACCTACATAATGGGAGAAAACATTTTCAAATTATATATCTGATAAGTCATTAATATCCACAATAGAACTCCTACAAGTCAACAACAACAAAAAAAACTAATTAAAAAATGGGCAAATGACTTGAATAAACTTTTCTTCACAGAAGATATAAAATGGCCAACAAGTACATGAGAAGATGTTCATCATTAATCATTAGGGAAATGCAAATCAGAACTATGAGATACTGCCTCATACTCATTAGGATGGCTAATATCAAAAAAACAAAAAGAAAATAACAAGTGTTGGTGAACACATAGAGAAATTGGAACCCTTGTGCACTGTCAGTGGGAATGTAAAATGGTACAGCCACTATCAAAAAAAATGGAGGGTCCCCCCCAAATTAAAAGTATTATTATTACATGATCCAGCAATTCCATTTCTGAGCATATGCCTGAAAAAATTGAAAGCAGGAACATGGAGGAATATTTGCTTCCCATGTTCATAGCAGCACTATTACCAACAGCTAAATGGGGGACCTGGTGTCCATCAACAGACAAATGAACAAAATGTGGTGTGGACATACAATCGAATATTATGCATTTATTTATTTATTTATTTTTTTGAGACAGAGTCTCATTCTGTCGCCCGGGCTAGAGTGCTGTGGCATCAGCCTAGCTCACAGCAACCTCGGACTCCTGGGCTCAAGCGATCCTCCTGCCTCAGCTTCCTGAGTACCTGGGGCTACAGGCATGTGCCACCACGCCCCAGCTAATTTTTTCTATATATTTTTAGTTGTCCAGCTAATTTCTTTCTATTTTTAGTAGAGACGGGGTCTTGCTCTTGTTCAGGCCAGTCTCGAACTCCTGACCTTGAGCCATCTGCCTGCCTTGGCCTCCCAGAGTGCTAGGATTACAGGCGTGAGCCGCCGCGCCTTGCCCCATTAATTTTTTATTTTTTGTATTTGCAGCAGTAGCTTACTCAGTCATAATCGAATATTATTCTGCATTAAAAAGGAAAGAAATTCCGACACATGATGCAACATGGACATACCATGAGGACATTATGCTGAGTGAAATAAACCAATCACGAAAGGACAATACTGTAGGATTTCACTTATATGAAGTATCTTAAGATAGAGACAGAAAGTGGACTGGTGGATGCCAGGGGTTGGGGGAGGCAGGTGGGAAGTTAGTATTTAATGGGCACTGAGTTTCAATTTTGCAAGATGAAAATGTTCGGGAGATTGGTTGCACAATAACATATATGTACTTAACACTACTGAACTGTACACTTAAAATGGGTAAATTGGTAAATTTTATGTCATATATATTTTACTATTAAAAATGTATTAATAAAATAAATTCTACTATTGAGCTGATTAGCTAAAACTAGAAGACATGCATTGTGTCCTGTTCATCACTGTAGCTACCCATACATTTCCCAGAGTTCGACAAATGATATACATTCTATAAAGTTTGGTTGAATCAACAGAAGTCATCTAGAAATTTTTCTAAAAAGAAGCAATCAAAGAGTGTTACTATTCTGCTAAGAAATCTCAGCTCTCTAACCCTAAAATCCTGCTCTCTAGAGAATAAGGGTGCAAGTTATACAGGTATACAGGAACTCTCTGTACTATCTTTGCAATTTTTCTGTAAATCTAAAACTTTTCTAAAATAGAAAGCTTGTTTTTTAAAAAATGAGGGGTAGGGGGTCTGTAGCAGTAGCCTAGAAGGGGCCTGTGTGAGGCAAGTGAAGGAGGCAATCTTCAATGGTATAATGAGCATGGTTTTGACCAAAAAATAAGAACAAACCAACACAAAAAAAGCATTAAAAAAGACTCTAAAGGAATATACAAAATACACTAAAAAGACTCTTGGTGACAAATGAAGGAATCAGTGAGGAAAATGCAGTGACCATGGGGTCCTGATCTATGTCAAAGTTCTCATCCCTTTCCCGGACCAACATGGACCACCGTCCACACATTCTCTTCCAAGAACAGGAGCAAACGGGAGCCCGTGTGATGCGTGTCAAGGTCCTGAGCAGAGAGGCGGGGACGAGCCGTGACAGCGAGTTATAGCATTACAGCCCCAGCCTGAGAAGCCACCATTGAAAAGTAATGCAATAGCCTGGCCCGTTTCCATTGCTCAAAGTCTTATAGAAACAACTCTATGTCACATTTTTTTAAGCCCTGGAAAAACCCCAGTGAAATCAGAAACTTCCTAAGAGTGGAGATTCAATCCCAGTGCTTTGAAATGGTTTCACTAATGCATGGTTGGTTTTGATCACAAAAAGAAATAGCAAGATGAGGTGAGGCAGCCTGGTTGGGTGGCAAGAGCACAAGCCTGGAGCCCTGGGCACCTGGGCACTAGTCCTAGCTGAGCCCAGTCCTAGCTGAGCCCAGCAATGTGTGAGCTCCTACAAGTCATTTCCCTGTTCCTGGCCTCAGTAATCCCATGCAGAAGATAAGGATAGTCTAAAGCAGTGGTTCTCAAACTTGAGCATGCATCAGACTCACATGGAGTCTGTTAAAACACAAATTGCTTACATAATGAGTTCGATACGCACCACCTGGAGGATGGACACGTTTGAAGTTCTGACAGGGGGGTGGGGGGTGGCGAGGGCAATATATGTAACCTTAGTCACATTTTTACCCCATAATATGATGAAATGAACAAAAAACACAAATAGCTGGGCTCCACCCCCAGAGCTTCCGAGTCAATGGGTCTGGGTGCAGCCCCCAAATCTGCATCTCTAACAAGTTTCCAGGTGGGGCTGATGCAGTTGGTCTGGGGTCCCTACTTTGAGAACCACTAGTCTAGATCTCTGTGATTGACATTTCAAGCATTCTGTAATAAATACTTCATATATTTTCTCACACTCTCGAAGTCTTTCCTTCCTTCATTTACCCACCTATACAAGGATTTATTCATCCAGTTATTTATACAGCAATATTATGGGGACTCCTATTATACATGAGGCATTGTGCCAGGGGCTCAAAGATAAACAAGATGGCTGGAGAAACAAAATATGCAAGTATGATATTGTGTAAACTGGGGTGTGCACAAAACATTAGAGGGATGGACCAGACTTCTTCTATGCAACATTTGAAACCACGATCCAGTGGAAGAGTCCACTGCAAGGAAAGGGCTGCAGCTCAAACACCTTATTCCTAGCTAGGATGCTGCCCACTCATCCAGGCAAAAGGCAGAAAGACATTTGAAAATATGCAAAATGTAATTCATTCAACAACTATTTGTTGAGCACCAACTATGGGCCAGCCACTGTCCCAAGCACTGGGGATATAAAGATCAATAAAAGAGAATATCTGCCCTTGGGGAGTTTAACATTCTAGTAGGAGAGACAGAAAAGAAGCAAACAAATAATAAACATATAAAGAATGTCAGGAAGTGCTAAGTTCATGAAGAAAAGTAAAGCAGGGTGGGGGATTGAGGTTGAAGGTGAATGATCAGAAAAGGAGGTA